CCATTGTGATGACTGTGCTTGAGATTCCTGTTCTGTCCCCTTCAAACAGTTCCTTTAAGAATAGCTTGACTGGCCACATACAAAGCAAACATTTTTACCGTGTCTCCCAGGTGCAAATTGAGAATATCATGTCCCTTCCAATGGGCAAGTCCTCCTAAAGTGCCCTTGTTGTCCACAACCATAACATTTCGCTGGACAAGGAACATTACTCAACTGTATACTTTTTATGGCGTGAACATTGGTCCTGAACTTCTTCCCACTAGAACTTTGTTGTTTTCCTTCTCTTTTATTTCGTTCCCCTTGCCCCAATACTATTGAGAATCCTCTAACCCTTGTCTACCACTCTCTCTGTATAATTGCTTAGCCCTAAGCCAACTAATTTTTCCCAAATAGATGACTTAAGTCCATCCTCAAACATCTTTGCTCTTTGTTTCTCGTCAGATACCATATGATGAATAAATACCCTGAATCAACTAAGGAAACTCTTGCATCTTGATCTTACTTGCTGATTCCCAAAAGCACTTTCAGAGGACAATTTTTTAAATTTGCCCAAAGACGTATTGCTGACATCATCCCCCCACTTAACTAAGTCCAAGCAATAATTTGTTTCTCCGTCACTTAAGCAAAGGCACAACTGCCATTCGATCTCCTCTGAAATTGTCAAGATATCTAGCAACTTCCTCACATGCGTAATCCATGTTTCGGCCTTTCTAGAATAAGGTTCACCATGAAAACTGAAAAGTTGGCGGATTCATCCTTTGGAATTTTCTCAATAAATTCATTCTTGTTTCTGTGCTAATTAAGTAGGCATATAGATACATGTGAAGCTTCCACAAGTAAAGTCAATTAGATGCAGCTTCTAAAGAAGTAGGGTGCATCGTTTCAGGTAAAGTTTACATAGGTAGAGTTGAAGTCGATGGAAACTGTGTAGAGGGAGCTGGCAGATATCTGTGTCAACCCAATCATATCCTTTAAAGCTTTAAACATATTAGCCATATCGTGATTTGGTTGTGATGGGGCAGATTTACCATTACTTTCTTGGACATTTTTCTACTAAGGAGAATGGGCATGTGTATACTCATACATTCACGTAAGTAACAAAATACCAATTATTGCAATTCAAGTTTCACAATTCAAACACGCGAGGTCAATACATATTTCAGAACAGCACAACAAATAGCAAATCATTATACTCAATTCACTTTGAGCATATCACGCTCAAGGTCACAAACAAAGGATTCCATTTCTACTTCCTAGTCCTTCCCAATGGACCAAATACCTAGCCTTTGATACCACGTTCTTGTGCCCCGGGTTCAAAAGCGTGATAATAGGTCAATCGTGTAGTATTTCTATAAAATTAAACCCCTTTCGTAAGGTTCTTCTCCCTTCTCTTCTCTAGCTCCTCATAATATCCCTCACCAGTACCTTCGGCTAATTTCTAAATTAATAAAGTGAGCTCCAAGGCACAATAGAGAGAGCAAATTTCTAAATTTAACATATAGGTTTTCAACACTGGAAAGGAGTTCATATCATATAGTCAAAATAAAGCTCAAAACATTCTCTAAAACAAAAATTTCAAGAAAACATATTCAAAGGAACTCTTTCCAATCAGCTCCAATTTCGGGGGGGGAAATGATGGAGATCTGTTTTTCACGAGGAACGGATACATGGAATTTCATCCATGGACCACATTGAACATCGCCCACATAGCAGTAGCTACCATATTCCAAGCATATCCTGTGAGAAATCTTACTTTAGGGACTGTTCAACCAAGAACCATTGTCTAGGTCAGCCATCAATTGTCTCAACCCCTTTTTCAAAACTAATCTCAGCAAAGTCAATTTCAACAACATAGTTTTCCTCAAATGACAACTTATACTCAGTTCCATATATTCATTACATAACAGTCTAACTCAATTTCTCAACAAAACTCACAAATCAACACTTTCAAAATTGCATACACACAATAATAGAAGCAGCAAACCACTTGTCCAGAAAATAAAGCTCAAATATATTAGAAATCAAAACATTTACTCATCACACATAGAACTAGAAGACCCTACCTCTGTTTATGATTTTTCACTAAATTTTTCAAAGCTTTTCCTTTGTTTTTTTCCGCTTTTTCTTTCACCCTATGTTCTACCTTTTGTCCAGAAACTTAATAGATTTTTCCTCTCTTCTATTCTCGTATCTTACTGATTTCTTTGTTTACTAATGAAAATTAACCATTTGCCACTCAAACAAGCTAGGTGGGTGTCACCTACTAGCTTAACTGTTCAACATTATTTCTCAGTCCTTCAAAAATTTTTGTATGATGTTCTTGTCCAACTTCCTTAAGAAAACAAGACTCTTCAGTCCTTCAGAGTTTTAAGTATTGTGCTCTTGACATACTTCCTACAGCTTCCTTTCGTTTGTGCCCTTGAACTTAAAAAGCAATACAGGATCAATTCCTTAATGATAAAACAATGTTATTGCCTCCCTAACAGCTTATGCAATTAAATGAGTTGGTTGTTTAACATGCTAGCAGGAGGTGCTGTGTTCTAGACTTCTAGTCTTGTCGTTACCATGGTAACCATAACACTTGCACGTGCTTGGCCAAAATTGTAGCAAGCACATGACGGGACATATTGAAGAATACGCACTTTTATTACACCTTGAATAACTTAAGCTATAAGATGAGTTGGTGGTTTAGCAGTAAACAAAAATAAAACATTTAACTCAAGTCTAGTAGACAACATATATAACCAAAATCAGATCATCACATCTAACCCTCATTCAAAGGATCAAAGAAGGCCAGCAAGGAGCTCCACATCCAATTACCATCATAGATGATGTAACCAAAGGGTGGGAACAAGAATTTAATATCAAGGATGATGGTGTTTTGAGATTGAAAGAAAGATTGTGTTCTAATGATGAGGGGTTAAAGAGCGAGATATTAGAGGCTGTTCATGCACCCAGGTAGCTCTAACATGGATCAAAAGTTGACTACACCCTTGCCTATCCCACAGTGGAAGTGGGAGCATATAACCAAGGAGTTTGTCACAAAGCTGGCTAAAACTACCAACAACCATGATGTTAGTGGATAGGATGAATAAATCATCCCACTTTATTGCTGCTAAAATGTCTTATTTGTTGAATAAGTTAGCAAAGTTCTATGTTCAGGAGATTACAAGATTAAATGAATTCCTATAACCATAGTTTCTAGTAAAGATTCCAGAATCACTCCTTGACTCTAGGGTAGTGTAAAAGAAGCTTTGGGTACCAAGCTAGGATTCAATACTACTTTCCATCCTCAAATTGATAGAGAATCTGAAAGGATAATCCAAATTTTGGAAGTAATGCTCACAGTTCGGATAATAGATTTGAAGAGGACGATCATTCACCTTGATAGAGTTTGGCTGCAACGATAAGGTCACCAATTTTCTAGGAAGAAGAAAGAAAGTTAGGTTGATCCTAAACTATTTCAACAAACCACTGAGAAAATGAAAACCGTTCAAGATTGACATGGAGTTGCTCATAGTAGAAAGAACTGTAACGCGGACAGGCGTAGAAGAAATCTTGAATTTCAAGTTGGAGATCATGTGTTTCTCAAGGCATCTTGCTCTAGAGGATGATAATGTTCAGAAAGAAAGGGAAGTTTAATCTTTTGTTTATTGGTCCTTCTGTGGTGCTTGAAAGGATCAGACTAATCGCTTATAGAGTGGCCTTCACTCCCAACTAGCACATATTTATAGTATTTCATGTAACTACACTCAGAAAATATTAACCGAATTCATCACATGGCCCAGAATTTGAGCCAATCCAAATTCAGGATGACTCAACGTATGTTAAGCAGCTCTCCTTTTTGTGAAAGTTCTAAGAGCATCTCCAATAGTGCTCTCTAAAAGAGAGAGCATCTTTTTTAAAATAAAGAGCATCTTTGACAAAAAGTTAAGAAATTTTGTATACCACTCCAATAGGACTCTTTATTCTTATCAATCTATTATTTTATGCTTTGTCCTTTTTAAGAATAAATTTGACTTCTCTCTTTTTTCCCTCCATTCTTTTACTAAACTTGAATATTTTATTTACACTCCCATTTCCTTGATCCCATTCCCAACTGAGCATGCTTGATATTACTGGATGGAATTAATGGAGTATCAATCAACAAGAAAAACAACTTGAAGCAATTAATTTAATATTACTATCTTCATGTAATGCTTGTGTAGTTTGATTAAAAAAATAACTTCTTTGATGAGATCCCAATTGTTGTTGACAAGGCGAAGAGAAGAAATTGATTTCGACGTAAATAGCATTGAGATATGTTTTATCTTGAATGTATAGGACGAAAAGACAAATATACTATTTTATGTTGCAAAAAAATAGACTAGAGAGTGAGTTTAACTCTCCAAATAGGGAGAGTCAAATTAGACTCTTTATTTTAGAGAACCTAAATAAAGAGTCTATTGGAGATAAAATTTTAATGGTTGACTCTAAAATAGACAATTGAGTGTCAATAAAGAGCCTATTAGAGATGCTCTAATATGTTATAAACTTGAAGGCATCTGATTTTGTGAGGAATATTTTGAGGGTGGTTAGAATGTCAATGATGTTTCAGTCTACTTGATCATATGGTTGAAGAGAGATTATATGAATCGGCTTACTGTTTTTTAGAAAACAATAGTCACAGTTAATTAGGGATCAGTGCTACGACATTCACACAACGCAAAATAAATAAATTGTCTGGGTAATGGTTTAAAATGGATCTTTATGTCTACAATTTTGTATATTAAGATGTGGGGAGGAAGCTAGAGCCACTCTATGATAGGGTATGTTATAATTTCTAATTAAAGAAATATAACAAGCTTATTATTCCAAATTAACAATAAAAAACAATTACAAACTTGTTGATTATATGATCGGGGTACCAAAAAAAATTTACAATCAACTTTTTCTTGTTTAGAAGCTTTGCATCAATAGTAAAGAATTAAGAATATTGCAATATATTAGATCCTAGATTTCTAATGCTTCACGATAAACATATTTTGCTTTGTATTTATTTTGGCATTAAGCTGACCTTGGCCCTGCAAAATTAAATTAATACAACAAATAAGAGCAAAGTTGATACCTCTAGTACAATTCCCCCACTTTTGTTAACTACTAATTATTCTCAAATGGTTCAGCCGTTCAAAATTACAAGACAACCTAAGGGTCAAATATACGCAGTCTTAGCCCCAAATTCAAATATGCTATTTATGCAGCTCGAACTCTTGATGCTCAAATTACAATGGAGTAACCTTACCGCTGCACCAACGCCCTCTCTTTTTTGGTTCCACAACTCCAACACACTGATAGCCCTACTCATGATTTGGTCCTTTATTTGGAAATGACCCCCCAAAAAAACCCCATAAAGTTTATTGTCACCAAAAATTAATGTACTTAATAATGCATATCTATCTGCAAGACATTACTATTATTTCTCTACTTGCTTCTACACAAAATTTGCAAAAAAAAAAAAATATTTTACCAAAAGAAAAATTTATCTTTCGTCATATCTATACCTCAATACTTTTCCCTTCTTTAAACTTATATGATGCACCAATACCAGTGATGGAGACAAAAATGCAAGGCATTGCTTCCTAACCCATGAGAAGAAATTTACATTCTCAAATGCATCGGTTCTTTCCTGAAACTTCCAACTTAGTAGGGTATCATTGGCGAATGAGTTAGCGGAGAGGCTAAGGTGGGTAGTCTTCACTCTACCACACTAGAGTTTATGATGACGGGAATAGGAACAAATAAGAGAATAGAAAAAGAAGAGAAGAAGAAAAGATTTACTTAATCGTCGCAAGGAATCGGTCAAGAAACACACAAATTCTCACACAGAATAATCAATTCGTATTCATAATCTCTCAAATGAAATATTAGCGATTACATACTATTTATAGGCTAAGTTGCTACCAAAATAAGAATTATTCTCCTACTAAAATTCTAAAAGTTTTTCATAATCAAACTCTTAAATTAAAACCCTACTAGAACTCTATAATAATTTCTTAATCAAACTCTAACTAATAATCATAGTCAAACAAATATTCCCTACCTAACATAATAATACTAAAACAAATAATAAAATAAAATTCTTCAATTTAAGCTCATCCAATCCCTTTTTGATCTCTATCTGTTTATCAATGAAGGCAATCTACTGGATAATAGTTCACCAATTTAATTATTTAGCATACTCACTAAAAATGGCTTCCCACTGAACTACAATGGAAAAGACATCCCTCTCTGAGAACATGAAGGTTACAGGATTGTCCCTTATACTCATAATGCTTGTGTCCATGGAAGTCATGATCTAAAATCTATGCCAAAATACATGAGCTCCATGCTTGTGTGAGAGTGAGACAAGGAGTCTCATACACAAATATGCATGCCACCAATAATCCAAAGGCACACTAAGATTACAGAAGTGGTATGCATCACTTTCAAAGTCCCACCATCACAACAAACACCAATCATTTTAGCTTTTGTGCATAAACATGGTAAATGACACAAAAGCTTATTGAAGAGACAATAGCTATTCAGCATACTACCACAACAAAGTCACTAAAAGCAAGATGATGGATCAGAGAGGATTTGGAAATGCATTGAAAGGTATTGAGAAAGAGCACTGGAGCAAACAAAGGGAAAACTACAGAGCTACAAGTCACTTTTCTGGGAGGCACCATTTCAAAAGTTAAAAATTGCCTCAGACAGTTAACTAAACTGCAATCACAGGTTGGAGTACAAAAAGGTCAATGGGTAATAATGAATCCTAACATGAACTTGAAATCAAGTGTTTCTGCATCGATTGAGTAACCTTTACATGAACAGAGAACCCATCATGAGAAATGAGATAACAACGCACAAGGGTCTTGCCATTGCAGCTTCTGAGGACAGATGTACACAACTTTACCCCTCACAATGGTAATTTTGGATTACTAGATTGCTTCGAGTGAAACAAAATAATATTTACCTACTCATTAGAAGAGTACCTTATTTTCAACAAGATCAGCAATTTTCTCAACAAGAGAGGCTTTGTTCGTCTGATATGGGATCTGTGCATTCGTAACAGAAAGTTAAAGTCAAAAAATGTAGATCCATCTCTAATGAGTCCCATTGAAAGGAGCAAAATGGCAACCTCTTTTATGATGATCGCTGTACGCTTCGTTTTGGAATCAAGCAGTTCAACATCAGTCTGCCCTCTCACTATGATACGTCCTCGCCCAGTTCGATATGCCATGCTTGACGAAAATTAAGTGATATCAGAAACTTTATCACAGTCAAGGTCAACCAGCATAAGCCTGAGATCTTAAAAGCAACTTATGCATGCAGGGTATATTGTATACCGCCCATAGATGCCATGGTCAATGACCACAAAAAATGTTATACAAGTGTCTATATGATGTGTGATGGAAATGTTGTGTTATCCTTGCTATAGTACATGGATTTGGGCATGTGGGTTCAAGAACACGCCTAAGTGAAGGACTCATCAACAAAGTTTACAAATGCAGGTAACATGCCAAATTTTCATACAATTTTAACTTCTTTTATTCATACAAATGGTTCTAATGTATCACAGATTATTCAACATGGGCACTTGGCCCATTTGTAAGCCATATTAAAAATGCTCAGGCAGATATGATGCAATAATATTGAATTCGACGATATCCAATTAGACATTTCAGGCCCATATCCCACACCCTAAACAACACACCAAACACTGGGCATGAGTATTTCACATATTTAGAAGAGCATACTCAATATGATTGTTAAGTTGTGTCAGACCCTGCAGCTACATGCTTTATATGATAACCTTACACTATAATGAAGTTTATTCAGTGAGTGTAAAGTGGTCCCCCCGTGTCATTACTACCCTTAAAGCTTCTCTTACATGAACAAGAGGCCATTACTAAAATTTATTTTCAAATTGACAAATAATATAATGAATTTGAGGCCAAGTTCTGTACAGAAAGGCTCCTCATTCATCCCACACTCACCAGTGCCCATGCCACTCCAACAACCACCACAACTCCCAACACTTATTTCAGCTGCAGAACCATTCTAAGAGCTTCCAAAAACAGCGGCTTTTCCTCCGTGACTGATTGCTACACTCCATCCTAATTTTTCTACGTAGAAAAACACTACCAATGCAAGTTTAAACATGATCATATGGCTTACCAAATAAATATTTTGAAATTTATAAGTTAATGGTCTTTCTACAGAAGGAATAAAAATGAGTAGTTTGGTTTTGGAGGTAGGTCAATGACATCTACCAGAAAGGCCATTTTAGCAGACATGAATCCATCCATGAACAAACAGCTCTTCTGTTTTGTGCGTAGGTTGTTTTTTTGTTTTCTGACTGTGTGTGTGTGTGTTTTGGGGGGTTGGGGAGAATGGCTTACTTTTTCCATATCTGACTATTTACACATCAAGTTTACAAGAAAATCAATCTCTACCTTAATTTTTACTAAACATTCTGTCAAAGAACATCCAAGATAAAACATGAAACCAAATCTGTTTGTGATTCTGCTCCAAATGGCACAACCCCCGAAAGACGTCACTAGATTGAAGCACTTATATTGTTCAGTTTAATTTGAAACATAATATTTCCTATTTAAATTTGGGTGCAACCTGATTATACCCAGAATGATGCAACAAAAACAGCACAGCTGATACTTTCAGCAGAGGCAGAATTAGATTAGAGCAGGGAGGGACCTCCTCCACCCCCCAGAATTAGACTGTGATTACTGATTAGTATCGTCGTTTTACTTGATATTAAAGTGAGGTGATGGTAATGCAGGTCGCTTATGGCATTAGCATCCGTCAATCTATTACGTCCACTTTAGGCTATTTGTGTTGCTATAGGACACCTAAAACAAAAGACATGAGCATCTGGTGTCATTCTGAGTGCAGCCTCATTGATAGTCTGAAGGAACTGATGAAATCGCTGAAAATTTTTGCCAGGAGGCAGAAGACAGGATGAGACTGGCAGTTCAATGCTTTGGATGCATGACTACTGAAGATAGAATTACTTACATTTGAAATTTAGAAAAGTAACCAGAAACTCAATGACTATGTTTCTTTCAGGAAGGCAATGAACAGATTAAAAAAAAATACTCTGCCCAAATTGATACTATCCCAAAAAGGAACATTTAAGTTTCTGGTACACCAGGCTTAAGTGGATAAGAGTAATGTGGCTCAAGAACATAATAATGCCTAGAATTCGAGGGAATCCCTATTAAGCCTTGCACATATTTTGGTCACCATTATATACAAAAAATAACTAAAGCATTAGCTCTCCAAAAAGGAATAAGATTGTGACATATGATGATTTGGAAATTCTGCAGGAGTCTAGTTGTGATTTGAAGATTGGAACAAACTTTTTGCATCTATTATGCAGGACGACATTTCGAGGACGACCCATCAAAAGTTGTTCAATAATTTCTACATTTTTTATATGTAAGACTGCATGATCAAGTAAGTGAGGAATTTCTTTCCTGCTACTGCTGCAAGATATTATCAGTTCAAATGGTTCTATTAACTCAGCATAGGTGGCTTACCTAGGTGTGGTAGGTAATTTAGGATTAAAGAAGAGAAGCTCCTGTAGAGATTGAAGTTCATTCTCCAATCCCTCATTCAATAATACCATCCATCAAGGAGCAAAATTTCATTTCAAAACAGTCAAAACATCCAAAACATTTCCGTTTTCAAGGAGACCAAAACGAATTAGTGATGGAATCAAAATTCTAATATTTTGATGTATTCCATAATGTTTCGAGATGTTTTATAATATTTCAATGCATTTGCATAATTGTTTCAGAATATTTCAAAGTATTTCAAGATATTTTGGTATATTTCGACCAATGTTTCAAAAAAAAAATTCTTAAATTTTTTATTTTTTTCTTTATATTTTCAAAACGGGTCGAAACGTTTCCGAAATACGTCGAAACATTTCCGTTTCTTAAGTAACCAAAACAATACACCAAAATCAAATTTTGATTATTGTCATCCATATTCTTCAGAACCCAAATTACTTAGAAAATCACTTTCCACATTTTGGTTGAAAAATAAAAAACAGAGTATTTGTTGAAGAATAAAAAGAAGTAGAGTATGTTATAGTTGTCAAATCACGATTTGTATCGTGAATCGGAATCCTATATTTGAGAATCGTTAATTGTATCGAATTGTTAATCATAAGATTCGAAACAAATTTGAACAAAAATAAAAAATAATATTACATATTTAAAGTAGACAAAATATTGAATATTGAACATTATTGCATTCTAAAAATAATCAACTGACATAATCACGTCGTCTAAATGAAAAGACACTAGCCTTATGCTTCATTTTCCTCTTTTGCTTAACTATTTTCAAATTCAACAAGAAAAAAAAAATTCATTAAGAACCATGGCTATTCAAGAATCAAAATAGTGACACCCAATATAGATTAGATTACAAACATGAATGAAAAAAGAACAAATAAGAAAATTGATTGGGAGAAAACATACTCGCCAATATTTTGAAACAAAAAATTAGAACCTAACAAACTACCCATGAAAGAACTGAGAGCAAAAATCAACCGATGATACGAGAGCGTCAATCATGACCTTTAACTTTAGATAACGCAAAACGAGCTTTAGACGACGTCAGAGAGAGAACGAGCAAAGAGGTTGAATTTTTATTAGGGTGTTGATTCATCTGCAAACAAAATGATGTCGTTTTACTGTTTAGCAAGCAAAATGATGTCGTTTTACTGTTTAGCGGACAAAACGACGTTGTTTTGTCAAAAAATTATGTTTTAAAATAAGTGATTAAATCGTGCGATATGAATCGAATCGTATGATTTAGGTGCAATTTAACTCTAAAACGATTCTCATATAAAATACAAATCTTTTTGTACCTGTATCGAATTGAATCGTACGGACCGAATCACGAATCATACGATTTTGATAACTAAGTGTTAGTTAGGGTCTGATAGTTGTTTTTTAAGAAGAATAAGCATTAGTAGAAGGAAAAAGACATCATCTCTATGTGATGCTCATAGACGGTTAAACAGTCCCATGAGAGAGACGCGAACAAGAGATACATTTTATATTTGGGGGTGCGCCTCTTCTAGTAAAACGACATTATTTTGACTATCTAACAATCTAAACGATGTAGTTTTACTAGAAATGTGGCTAAAAAAATAATAAAATGAATTGTGCGATTCCTTTGATTCGAATCGTACAATTCTGCGATTTTCGGCAAAAAATAATTCTATAGTAAGATACGAATCGAATAGGGACTAAATCAAATCGAATCATGAATCGTACAATTTTGATAACAATGATTCTCCCAACTTCCAAATATGAAGTTGAATGTTGTTATATATGCACTGGACATCAAAGAGGAAAAATCAAGGTGGGGAACCAGTATCAACAACTCTCAGTGAATTGGCAGCACAACTAGCTAGTGAAAATACATTAACTGCTAAAGAAAAATTGAAAAGTATCGGTCCAGAGGAATACCCCAGAATTGATAGGAATTTCTCGTCAAAGTCAAGTTGCTTCCCCCTTGGAGGAGTTCCCATAGGGGTCCTCAAGAGGCTTACTATTGGCACTTTTAACTCATTGGCATGGCTAAGGCATGCAACTAGCTTGCTCAATGGCGCCCTACAGCAAGGCCAAGGTAGGAGTGTGCTTGGCTAATTATTCTCAATGTGCCAGATGGCTACCAAATGACTTGATTGCGTGCAAGACTTAATGGCAAAGTGTTGAATATACCAAGTGTTGTGTGCAACCGTGGCAGATTTGTAAATAGTACATTATGACTCCTCAAGCACCCTGATGCCTATTGTTGACATTTCAAAAAACCTTCATAATGCCATTATAAGAAGGGGAAGGTGCCCAATTGGAAATCCTTATGCCCCTTAGCCTTGGCACGCCAAAGCAAGACACGGCCCCAAGAATGCATGTCGTAGGTAGATGCAAGGCATCTCTTAATGTTGAAAGAGAGAGATGTGAGAATGTTACTTTTTCCCTCGTCTCATATATATAAATTTAAACAAAAGATTAGCATACACCTCTTAGGATATACTCCCTCCGTTCCTAAATATCTGTCATTTTACACAATTTTTTTTGTTTCATAATATTTGTCGTTTTATAAAACCAAAACATAATTAATATTTTTTCTTCCAAAATTACCCTTAACTTTTCAATGTATTAAATTAGGTAGAGGTTAAGTGTCTTTCATATTCTTTTC